ATTCTATTCTATTCTATTCTATTCTATTCTATTCTATTCTATTCTATTCTATTCTATTCTATAAAGAATTAAGAGATTTAACCTGGAAATAAGAAGAAACTTTCTGACAGTGAGAACAAGCAACCCATGGAACAGAAGTTGCCCTCGGAAGTTGTGGGAGCTTCATCACTGGAAGCTTTCAAAAAGAGACTGGGCTCCCATCTGTGTAGGGTCTCCCGCTTGGGCAGTGGGTTGGACTAGATGACCTACAAGGTCCCTTTCAACTGATTATCTGTTATCTGAATTCTATAAAAAATAAAGAATTCTATTAAGTGAATCTGCTGGAACCATTGGACTTTGCTTGTCAGGAGGTCACATGACCCCAGGATATAGCGATCATCATAAATGTGAGTTAGTTGCTAAGGGCCTGAATTTTGATCACGTGACCATGGAGATGCTGCGACGGTCATAAGGGTGAAAAATGATCGTGTTGCTTTTTTTCAGCACCCTTGTAGCTTCAAATGGCCACTAAATGAATGGTTGTAAGTCGAGGACACCTAATACAGCCATTGGTTTTCAGAGAACGGATTGTATGTCGTGGTGATTTTATCTTGGAGTTATCCTGAGCTTTTGCGGATAACAGGATATTACATTCAGTGCTTATTTTGGACAATATTTACTATTTCAGATTTTTATTTGAAAGCAAATGATACTGAGCAGCCTCAGTCGTGGTTAAAAAGCCAGTATAAGAAAACAGATGTATATTTCGGGGAATTACAGTCGTCTCCATTGTGCTCCTCATTATGAAATGGCTCTCGGAATGCGTATAGGCGAAAACTCTACACATTGTGTGGGTGTGCTACTGAAACAATTCTGTGATTTTAATGATGTTTGGCATATCAAATTATTGGTTGCCTTAATAAGGCAGCCGCAAAGAAAACAAGGAGGGGGAGATCTGCAGCCCAGCCTTTTTGTATTTTAATTTTTTGATGGATCACATTTTGAAGCACTCCCCATTTCTCCTCTCCTCTACAGCTAGTCCTCAGCTTACGACCACAATTGATCCCGAAATTCATGTTGTTAAGTGAGAAATTTGTTGGCTGTTCTTAGCACATTGGTTAAGAGTATCGCTGCAGTTCTTAAATTAGTCAACACGATTGTTAAGTGAATCAGGCTTCCCCATTGATGTCGTTTGTCAGAAGGTCCCAAAAGGGGACACGGCAACAGTCATAAATGTGAGTCAGCTGCCGAGCGCTTGAATTTATTCACGTGACCATGGGGATATCGTAAGCGTGAACAATGGTCCTAAGTCCCTTTTTTTTCAATGACGTTGTAACTTCAACCGGTCACTAAATGAACTCTCGCAAGTCTAGGACCCTACCTATATTTGTAAATTGGTCAGGGTACAAATCAAATGTTAAAAGGAAAAACTGGAAACAAAATTTGAAAAAGAGGCAAGTTAAAATCCCAGATTAAACGTTAATTAAAATCCAGGAGGGAGGGAAAGCCTTGCCCCTCTGGGGAGAGCAGGTTCCAGGGTTTCCCCAAATAAGATAGCTTTCACACTGCACACCCTCAGACAGATTTTTTTTCCATTTTCTTAGACAGAGATGTATTGTCACCATAAAAGAAAATAAAAAGTATGTGTCCTTTTAAAATAGGTTGGTGGTACCCCAGTCATAGGTTGCAAGCAGGCCGTGAGTTCCGTCCCTAAGAATGAAGAGAAGAGAAGAAAACAGAACAGATATTGGATGAAAGAATAGAATAGAATAGAATAGAATAGAATAGAATAGAATAGAATAGAATAGAATAGAAGAGAATAGAATAGAATAGAATAGAATATTGGAGTATAGAATAGAATAGATATTGGATGAAGAATAGAATAGAACAGAATAGATATTGGATGAAGAATAGCATAGCGTAGATATTTGATGAAGAATAGAACAGAATAGAATAGAATACTTTTATTGGCCAAGTGTGATTGGACACACAAGGAATTTGTCTTGGTGCAAATGCTCTCAGTGCACATAAAAAGAAAAGACACATTTGTCAAGAGTCAAGAATCATCAGGTACAACATTTAATCATAGTCATAGGGTATAGTAAGTCCTTGGGTAGTTTGAGCTTCCTGAGTTGGCATAGAAAGAACATTCTTTGTGGTGCTTTTTTGATGATGTTTTGATGATGTTAGGGGTCCATTTTAGGTCTTGTGATATGATAGAACCTAGAAATTGGAAGGTCTCTACTGTGGATACCGTGTTGTCTAGTACTGCAAGAGGTGGTCGTATGGGAGGGTTTCTTCTAAAGTCCACCACCATTTCTATGGTTTTGAGTGTGCCCAGTTCCAGATTGTTCTGGTTTACACCACGAGGCAAGTTGTACAACCTCCTGTCTGTATGCGGATTTGTCATTGCCTCGAATGAGACCAATCACAGTTGTGTCACCTGCAAATTTCAGCATTTTAACCGAAGGATCGTTTGAGGCAGGACTAGAAGTCACCCATCTCCCAGTTTCTAGCCTAGTGCCAGATGACTTTTGTCCCTAAAGCAGGACTAGAACTCACCATCTCCTGGTTTTCTAACATACTGCTAGACCAAACTGGCGTTTCATCGTGGGAGGGGCCAATTTACATCCTTTTTGAAGGGTCCATCATAATTTTTTACACTCACTAAATGTCGCCAGCTGATGACTCCCTGTAGAAAAACTCTGGAAGAGGTTTCAGTCATGGGTCAAAGCCTCCCCCGCCCCATAGGGCCCCGGGAGCTTCCCAAGGAGAGGCTGAAATAAAAGGCAGCCTTCAAAACGCTGGCTTTTTCATCCCAAGAAACAGAGGCATTCGATCAGCTACGGAGTTTATTCTTAGAATGTAAATTTGAACAAAAGATGGTTTTATTGGTTGGTGTTGGCCTGAGGGTCTTGGGCTGGGAAGGCGACAGTGGTTGCAGTGTTTCCTGTCCTGATACCCCAGCTCTTGCTGGTTTTTACGGAAAAATGCTAGAATGCAAAAAAGACGGCCCCGTCTAGTGTGCTTAATATAATTAAATGCAGACACAAATTAGACCCAGAGAATGGACAGTTTCCTTCTATTTTACGGCGTTGCAGTTAAACTTGAAACACTAGCTAGGTTTGACTAAGGAAGTTTTGGTCTTAGTAAGAGAGCTCAGCCATGCTGGAAAGGCTGAACCGAGATATGTGGTGGTTTCCACCTCATTTTGGACAGGGAGCAACTTCTCCCAGGGTCTGCCAAGTCAGGCCTCCCATCAGAGAGAGGTCCTTGAGAGCCTGGGTCCTAGGTAGTACAGGTAGTCAGAATAGTAATTGGAAGGGACCTTGGAGGTCTTCTAGTCGAACCCCCCTGCTCAAGCAGGAGAACTTACACCATTTCAGTCAAGTGGCTTGGTTATTAACTGAGTTTTTGCCCCCATTTTCTCGTCACAGTTGTTAAGTTGAGACTTTCAAGAAGAGATTGGACTGCCCTTTGTCAGAAATGTTGTAGGGTCTCCTGCTTGGGCGGGGGGGGGGGTGGACTAGATGACCTACAAGGTCCCTTCCAACTCTAATTATCTGTTAAGTGAATCACTGCAATCGTTAAGTTAGTAACGTGGTTGCTAAGCGAATTTGGCTTCCCCATTAACTTTGCTTGTCAGAAAAGGGGATCACATGACCACAGGGTCCTGGGATGCTGCAACCATTGTCAAGCATTCATGCGTAAATCACGTGACCGTTGCAATGGTCATAAAG